GCATATTCTTGTCATAATACCTTCTCTGCTTTCTCTTCCTCCAGTCATTTGACTGTAAAGTGTCTAACAACACAGCTTACTTGATAAACTTCCTCGAACCTCTCCTTGAACAATATGCTCTTACAGTAATAAACTTTTTTAGTAAACGGAGATATTGATGGAGTTTAGTCTCAAAGTATGAGAATAGAGTGAAGTGGGGAAAGTGATTGGCAGTAGAGTTCTGGATGTTTCTTCTACTTCAGACATTTATTATGACCAGGAAGTGTTTGGCTTAGATACAGACTGATAAACAGTTTTCTTTTTCCTGGGTTCTTGCCTCACCCTTATTTCTCTAACATCTTTACAGTATTAGAATATGCTTTACTGCATTAAAAAAAAAAAAAAACTTTTATTGCATTAAAAAAAAAATCACCTCTGAAAGAATAAGGAAATGAACAAGTTACCATGGGATGAGGTATATTTGTTACGGTTTAAAAGCAAGAAGATTACCAGTAGCCAGTAGAACAAGTAAATTATCATTAGTCTAGATCAACTGCAGTGTTTTCCATTGGGTTGCTATGGCTGGCCTATGTTAAAAGGAACGTCATGTTCTTAGCAAGGCCTTGTGTAATAGCTGGCATGAGTGTCCTGTAGACACTGTATTATACTCATAACATTACCACATTATAATTATTAGATAATCAGGTGTTTCTGAGAAGGAGTTTTTGTCTCCAGTTTTGATTGCATGGCCTAGAATTCCTCTGTAAGGATGGAGGATTATTGAGATTTTTAACTGGATTATCTTACTTCATTCATACTTTCCACATTCAGTTACATCCCTGTAGTGCAAGTTTTAAACTGCTTAAATATTCATTATGCTAACTTAGCTTGTTAAGCACTGAACAGCAACAGAGTAAATTAATACCAGTATTATTCTTTGTGATACTGTTGTGCTACTCAAAAGGGCTTTTACTTGTTCTTTTGGTTATGGATGAAGTTGGATGCAGAAAGCGTTGGTTTGAAAGTAATGCTGCTGCTGTTTTGTGTCCTGTGTAGAAAGTGTCTGTCTGCTTTCCTGCTTTAACTGCTTCCTTAAACTTAAACCCTGCTGTGGGGTCAGGCTGCAATATTACTGGTTGTTGTTAGTGCAGAAGGCTTTTCTTAAGTAGAACTGACTTTTTAAAAGTTACATTCCCTTTGCTTGTAGAGCTCTGCCTTCTGACACTTAGAGCTTTGGTTGTGAGGGGATGAGGGTGTTTCTTTTTAGACTTCTTTCTGTGAAGTATGTTTAAAGGACATGGGAAAAGAGAAGGTGGCAGTCAAAAGCACAGTTCAGAGGGTGATAGTTTTGCCATCTCTTGCTGGGATTTCTTGCAGCCCCAAGCTCCTTTTGTGAAATAGTGTGGCAGAGACGACCAGAATGAGGAAGAGTGGGATGCTTTGAGTGTCTGTGAAGCGAGTGGAGATCTCTGCAGTGACTCTGCCGGGAGCCAGCAGCCGTGTGTAGTAGGCAGGCACCGAACACATGGGAGCGCGCATGCCGGGCTGTCCGTGCCGGGATTGCTGCGCGGCTGAGCGGCTTAGCACATCACCGGGCACGCCCCTGCAGCCTGTGGCGCTCTCCTGCCAGCGCTGCTGCGGCATGGGCAGGCTCCGGGCCTGTGCTTTGCATTGCTGGGCGACCTTCTTGGTCTGAATGGCTGCGCTGGGTTTGCACCACCACGGGATCCTCTTACTTGGTTCTCTGTCCCTCCCGAGGAGTTACCAAGGGACGGCAGCAATACACCGAGTTTCTTGTGATCTGCCCAGGCAGTGGTTCTGAAGTGCACTTTTTCCCTGCTTATCCACATATGAAAGGGAAGTTATGAGAATTTGTGTATGTGAGAGTTTTTGTACAGATATGCTGGTGATCTGCTGCTGCTGAAGTAGTGTGTGGTAGTCCTAGTTCTCTTATGATTTTGGTAGTCCAATTTAGACAACTTTGCTTGTAGAACACAATCAGAAGTGAGGCTAAGTTTACCTTCCACAACATATATAAGCATGGAATATGGTTTTCATTTTTCCTTAATTTTCTCCCAATAGGAAGGAAAATTTTATTGAGGATGCTGAAGGGGTAGTGACTCAACATGCTGTTTACATGAAATATACAGAAAGCATTTCTTGGGGCAAGAGGATGAGGAGATTCTGCAGAAGTTCAGTACAAGCAGAGCCAGCGTTGATCCTGACAGGATTTGGTGCTGGGAAAAAAAACTTCATCTGTATGCCAAAATGTCCGGGAAAGACTTTTGTTTTACTTCCAACTATTTTTGAGCAGACCATGGTAATTCTTAACACTTAATTTTTCTTACAGGTAGAATAGTAAGAGATGGGCAGAGATTTCCTTGTATAGATGAGTTTTTTACAAGTAGAACTGACTTTTAAAAAGTAGAACCAAAGCTACATTGCCTTTCTAGCACCCTGTCCTGAAAGAGAGGCAATTCAGTGTTAAATAACACCTGCAATTTATTGTAATTGAAGCTTAGGGAGACAAGATGAAGTGGTGAGGATGTCTAGTACTTGTCTTTTTTTCTTGGTTTCACTTCCTATCCTCCTTATTCCTTGCAGCTTTTGTATCTTAGTACAGTTTTTGTGCTTGACCTTATTACATGTACTTTTATGTTTCTGCTTAGCTTCTTTAATTGTACAAAGATCTTCAGTGTATAAAAGCACTTACTTGATTTCAGTTACATCTCTGCCATGGTTCTCCTGTGACTTGAGTACTAATACATCCAACTCCTGGGACAGGTACATGGTGTTTGTTAGGTTGCTGCACTTTGGAGTGGATTGTTAATGTGATGGGGACAAGGATTTATTTGGCACAGCATCTTCCAGAAGGGGACTTTGCTTCTGATTGAAATGTTGAATAGGTTGTGAACCACAGCAATGTCTGAGGAGCAGCATTAGCCTAGAACTACAGTAAATGTGGTGAAAGTATGTCCTTTTTCTTAAAGGAGTAGTAGATATGCAAATATATTGCTTAATGGGGATATCAACAAATACTAAAGTTGATGTATGGTATTAAGATACTTTTAAATCTAGTTTCACCTATAATAAAGGTGAAATACATGACTGCATGGCAGGATATTATAATTTTTCTCTCCTTTCTATAAAAACACTTGGCAACCTTTAATGTATAATTTTTTTCATTTTTTTCTAAAAGGGGCAAGAGTTGACATGTAAAAGTTAAGAGTTCTGACTATTGATGTTGTACGTAATTGTCTCTCCAGTTCCACTTGGGAAGACAGTGGCATTTTCTGGTTACAGAGAAAATAAGGTGTTTTTTAAAATCCACACTGCATGCAAATAATTTTATGTATCTTTAAGAAAGCACCTTTTTTTTAAGACTGGAAGCTGTAAAGAAGGGTGTCTAGAAAACAGTATGGGGCATGTGAAGGAGATGGTGTTTAGTGTCTTTACAAGATGTCTCAGCACAGGCTGCTCTTTGGATTTTTGTTTTCTAATGGCAAATACCCAACTTGTTGGCAATTAAACTTGGCTCTGCGCCAAGTCTCTTATTCAAGATGGAAGTATAAATTTGAGAGACAGTTTCTATTTTCTCTTGGGGATCAGTTTAGATCCATCATGGAGTCTTCAGCACAGGTGGTGGGGTTTAACAGCACAAGGAATTCTTACCTGAAAGGGTAAAATACTGTTTTTTCTAGACTGGCAGAAATGAGAATTTGGGGTGGTTTCTTACATTTATAAAGGGAACAGATTTCAGTGGGTAGTTATTCTGGGCGTTGCTCAAGGAACCAATGTAGAAGTTAGGTTACAGTAATGACTACTTTTATCAGTAGGATTTTGTTTCATTTCCTCTCATCTTGTATTTGTAGTCTTTATAATTGTTCTTCACCTGTGGAGGACAAATTTTTCATGACTTGACTTCTATTGCGTTATGAAATGGACTTGATTTATCTTTTATAATAAACTTGTATCTTGCTTACAAATCCTGATATACTTTTTTCCATTTTTTAATAGGAATATATTGATGACACTTTAATATTTGGAAAGACCATGATTAGTACATTCATTGAGGTGAGTGTTTTATGCTGTACCCAAGAAGGTGATTTGTGATATCACTTCTTTCTTAATGACTCTGAACTTGGGAGTGTGGGAGGTGTCTCTGTGATTTTTGTTATTGCTCTTTTGTGTACTTCCTTTGAAATGCAGTGTCAGAATGCCCAAAAATAGAGATCTTCAGGGCTTTAAGTTTCCAAAGACATGTTGCACAAATCATGAAGTATATCCTATGGCTTCTCTAAATCTTTATGAAACTGGAATTTAGTGTAGTGTCAGTATCAAGTGCTGCATCTGCGCTGTTTCCTGTGCAGGTGTTTATTAATAACTTCCATCTTTTTGATTGCTTTTGCAGGTGTTAAAGAACTTTCAATTATGAGGAAAATTTCGGGGTCCAGAAAACCAAGTGCCTACTGTTACTTAGATAATCAGGATGATAGCTCAGGAAGAAAAGGGAAAATATTATGCTTCTAACCTGAATTTAAAAAAGTCAGTCGTAACTTAGAACAGTATTATTTGGTTGGTTCTGCTTTGCTTTGAAAATTAAGGAAAGTTGATTGTTACTGGAGCCAAAAAGGGAAGCATAATTAAAGGAGAATGGTGTAGAAATGTAATCTGTGATGGAAGAAAATTTGTAATGTGCTTTCATTAATTGTGATCTAATGATGCCACAGGAGTGGTCCTAGATAGGAAAGACAGCTGATCTGGATAATACTGTAATATTGCAATACAGATTGAATTGTAACTGAGATTCTGAGCATTAACACTCTCTGTTCAGTCTAAATGATTGAGAAAAAAACCCAAACAATTCTGTTGTTCTATGGAAAATGTGATCTGAATAGGTTCTAAAAGCTGACTCTTTTTAATGCTGCAGGTGTGACTTCAGTTTTCTGCAGAAAGTGAACCTGGTTCAACTTGGTTTGCCTCCCGTATCACAGGTGTGTTCCTACAGCAGGGTTTTCACTTCTTCATAATATTTGAAGTCTTCTGTGCTTAGAATAGAGATATGTCAGTATGGAAGGAAATGAGGAAATGTCACAAGTTCTGTCTTCTTTGTGAACTGAACAAATTAGACTTCCTTCTGTGGAAAACCCTTTGCTGGAGATGCCATCTGTAGATGAACTCTTTTAGTGTTTTGGGACTTGGGCATACTCGATCACCTGTATATTTCCTCTGAAAAATAATAGAAAACAGGTAAAACTGGCTGCCTCTAATTCTGTTCGGACTGTTTAAATACAAGTCACTCAAACCAAGCATTTTGTTTCAGATAAAAATCCTGTTGGTGTAGATTTGTCTTACTTTACATTAAACTGTAGAAAGACTTATCATGAGAATTTTTAGTAGCTTACAAGGACTATTCTTTCTTAATGTTTTAATGTCTTCTTAAATATGTTAAATACATGAAACCAATATGATACACAATTAAAGTGGTACATGCTGCCGCTGTAAGTATATCTTCAAACTTAGACTTCTGAATACCTTTTTAACTTTTTTTTTTTAATTGAAATTTTACAGGGAGTTGAGTTAGTGTAAAGGAATTGCAAGAGCTGTCTTTAAACAAGGATTTAACTGTTGCTGAAAGACATTCCACGTTTCCAGTGTTCAGGCTAAAAACTGTGAAATCTGCACGTAGTTCTGGCTACAGCAATTTCTAACACTTCTTGTGATCAGAGATAAAACCTGTAATTTAAATACTGTATTATCAGTTTATAAAAACAGAAGCAAAACATTTAAAGAACCAGTGCTTACAGATTTATATCGTAATTTGAGTATTTTAGAACTTGTATTGGCTTCGTGATGTCATGCAGGATGGAATGTTGTGAATAAATTCTTCCTTTAGTCTGGCCAGCACAAATGTACTTTGAACAGTTGGTAGGCGTGCAGCCTGTTAAATTAAGGCATGCTAGCATGGCTGTCTTCCAGAGTGGTTAGCTTGGGATTTGAACACTGTTCCAAACATTTCTTCTGCGTATTCAGATGAAGCACTTAGAATGATGTAATTGTCTGCCACACAAATGTTGGTCTTCTGAACTTCTGATTTCTTTATACCATTTATTTGTGCCACATGGCAGTGGCATGCACCAACAGACTTAGTTTCCTAGATTTCATAGAAGCACTTTCAGTTTTTTTGTTTTTCATCAAAATTCCCAGTGTCTCTCTTGAGAAACTTTTTATTAGGAAGAATAATAGTGTTAATGGGCTTTGTTAGTACAGACTTCCGGCCTTAAAGAAACACTTTTTTGAGAGTGTGAGTGAGCGAGCACTGGAACAGATTGCCTAGAGTGACCATGGAATGTCCACTTTTGGAGATAGCCGAAAGTCATCTCTTGGTGGTCCTGAGCAGCCTGCTCTTAGGTAGCTCTGCATGAATAGGGAGTTGGACAAGGTACCTCCAGAAGTCTCTTTTGATCTCAATCATTGTGTGAAAATTTTGTAACTGCCTGGTAAAATCTTTAATACTCTTACCAATCCTACTGTGACAGGGAGCAATAAAACTATATTGCAACCAAAACTTGATGAGCACTTGGAGCTCCTGCTGACCACATCAGGCATTTGGCTCTGTGCCCTGATGGGGACGCCAGCCCTGTGTTCCCAGTGGTTGTGTCAGCCTGTGCAGACTGTACATAGTGTGATACCACTCTGATTGTGAATCCTAATGTTATTTTATCTCGTGCAGAACATGCACTTTAAAACTCTTTAAGACCTTATTTCAGAGCAAAAGTGTTTAAAATGCAAATTTGTGTATTCTTCCTTTGCTGTATGACAGTTTCATGTTTAACCAACATTTATCTACATAGGAGTGACATAGCTGTGAGCATCTCTCTGGTATCTGTTTGAAGAGGACACTGTTGGGGGGCCCAGGTATTTCTTTTATATTTTATAGTTATAGAGGTGTCCGGACTCTGTAATGGTCAAAGATTTCCAGTAGAAGAGGATGAGACAAGAATTAAATGCATGTGAGAGACTCTGGACCTAGGCACCTCATGCTTTTGATGCTAGCTGGGAGGGAGCTTGATAAACACTTTTGCCAACTTTTCATAGAACAAACAGGTAAGAAACACACGTAATTATTATGATTCATACTAGTAGAAAGATGCTTCCCCTCCTGCTCCTCTAGAGCTTATGCAGAAAATATATTGTTCTCTGTTTGTTATCTTTAAACTGGGGTTTCCGTCATATATATGTACTCACTCAGAGCAATATTTTGGTTATAAACTGGGAGTTACCTTATTTGAAGCTAAAGCATTTTGTAGCCTTAAACCTTATTCTTAAATTCAGGTTTTAGTTTCTTCAGCAAGGAAACAATGTGGCTGGAAGCATCCTCACTGTGGATGCCAGGGCCCTGATCTGATGCTGACTTCTTCCTGTGTAGGTGCTGCTATAAATTCACGGTGGCACTTGGATGGTTCTGGAACAAGGCTGTGTCTTGATCAGTTCCCTTTGAAAAGTGGCAGCTGAAAGCAGTGGTTAATGAAGATGACCCTTATAAGGCAAATAAGAGTCTTGTGTTCAGGATTTTCTTGAGCTGAAAGGTGAATCCTGATAGAAAAGTTGTGAAATTAATATTGTGAAATTCAGATTTTATGGGAACGTTTGTGGTATACTAGAGGTTGATAATTTTATTGACACTGACATCTCATTGCTTGTTTAGAAAAAGAGCAAAACTTGTTCACGATTATCTGGAGTGAGTTAAGTAATCTAGTAAAAAAGTTTCCTTTTTTTAAGTAAAAAGATCTTGCAATAAATTATTGAGCATCTTTGTTATGGTTTCATATAATATGAGAATATTGCCATCTTTTCCCTTCCCCCTTCCTAGAAAAGTCCTAGTGAAGGTATTTGTTAATTGCTTGCCAGGAAAACACAAAGCTCTCAATGTTGGTGAAGTTGCACAGTGAACAAGTCACTTCTTGGATTATTGTTTGTTTTCCAACATTTTCTCTTAATGTTTTTTAACTCCTAAGCGTTTAATTATTGTCTAATTGCACAGAGAGAATGCATTCATTGTAGATGTTAATTTTCAATCATATCTAGAATTGCATGATCTGACTAAACTCTTGCTAGTTATTTGTCATCTAAATAAAAAAACTTCTATAGTTTTGCAAAGCAAAAATCTGGAAGACATTTGGAAACCTTTCTTGTTGACAAGATCTTCAGTAAAATTTAATCCATTAGGAATGTCTCCCATAGGTTCTAGTACAGTTAAGAATACCTGAATATTCACATGTCTAAGGCATAAAATGTAGTGTGGCTCTTGCTTTTTTTGGGAATATTGGTAAGTTGATAGTAGTTGCGAATTTAGACTCAAATCATGAGATGTTTGCCTCTTACTCAGTTCTTGAATTGGATAATTTTGACTCTGGATTGTTAGTTTCTCATCCTTTATATGCCAGTACTAAACACGATAGTTTTTTGTGTGAAAAAAAAAATCTGGAAAAATCTGTTCTCTGAATATAACCAGATCTCTGCCAAAACAAGATTTTTGGGTTTACAGTTATTGTTTCAGAAGAAATCTGCCTCCTTGGTGTTCTACAACCCTTCTTAAGGGTGTTTTTCACAAACAAGCTCAATTACTTTCAGCATTTGACCATACGTATTTTGGTGTGCTTTTTTGGTGACGTTAAAGTTCAGGCTGTTTCCTTTGTCTTACTGCAGAATAAAGGAGCAACTGTAGGTAATGAATAACCAGCAGACCTTTGCTGCATATCTAACCTGGCAAATCAATGCCTACGTTTGTCCTTAGTGCTCAGTGGAATCATGGTGCCTTTCACACACTGCATCAGGATCTTGGAAAGCTCTAGTCTTTGCCAGAGAGAATAGAATTGGGTTTTTTGAGCTAGCTGCTGTAAAATCAGGCTTAGCTGGTGCCAGTTTAATTTTTAAAAAGTTTTTATTTATAGAGTCAAAATAGACATCCCTTAAAAGTTTATAAGATGGAGCAGAAAATAAAGAAAAGCCTGGCTTCTTTCAGTATCAAGCCTAAAAGAGCTCTTCATGTTTCCATGTTGCGATGCTTACTGAACTTGGTATGGGATGTAATTGCCTTCCTCAAAGTGGTAACGAGAGAGAACCTCAGACTGGGAAAACATGCAAGCTTTTGCCTTCCAGTGTTGTTTGGTTAGTGATTGGGAATTCATTCAAGCATGTGAGTGGGATGAATATGTGCAATTTATTCTGTCATTTTCCCTGAGATTAGTTTCAAAGATAATTAATCCCTTTGTGCTGTCTGACCGTCTGTGCTCCTGAAGTGTTCTCGCAGTGCTGGTGTCTGCATGCAGATGTTCCACTTAAAGCTCTTGCTCTGCTCAGAGTGAAGCCTGGCCAGCTGCATCACTTCTTATCTAAATTGCAGAGCATAGTGGAGGGCTATTGGCAGCCTGAGCTTTTTTCACAGTTACTCCTATCTCTTCTAAAAAAGTATCTCCAAAGTTAGTGCATATATTAACATCACATTATAAATTAAAAAAGCACCAAGATTCCCCCAAATAGGTAAAGCCTTGTTTTAGGAAGGGTTCACTTTCTTCAGAAGCTCTTGAAAGTTTATCATAATATTTTTCTTGTTCCTTCCTCTTTACTCTTCCTGTATTCCTTATTCTGGTATGTTCCTCTGGCACTGAGGCTTTTGAGATTTTGAAACTGAAGAAATTTTGTGTAAGACTGACTTTCAGTGACGTTAATCTTCTAGTCTTGCCTAAGAAAACCATTCCAGCCCAAACTGAGCCAGTTCTTTTTGAAACATACCCTTAAAGATGACAAACTTGTGTTTTCTCCATTACTCCAATACTCTGTTTTGGTGTTTTTTTTTTTTTTTTTTGGTTGTCCTTGTGATCTAAATTGTAGTCACTATAATGTAGTTATTAGTTGTGTAAAAGCTGCAGAAGTTGTGGCATGTTGTTAGTTAGAACCAGAAGTAACACGACTGAGTTGCTTCTTGACAGAAATTTCTGCCAGGTATCAAGAGGAAAAAAGTTCACATAGTATCTCCTAAGGGTCAGTGTCTATTTCTTTTCTGTTGGTGACTGTCTGAATTTGTACTCATTCCTTAAAATAAAAATGTTTTTTAAAACATTGACTGTCATTAAATCAATCAACTGTTGTTTCAGTAGTTACAGGAAATTCCTCAATAGTTATTGGATAGCATACAGATTTATTTATTTATTTATTTTGGGAACGATTCTCTACCCTCAGGAAACACTGCTGAAGTTTCCTACAGATACCTGGCAGAAGCTAATCTGAGTGTCATGGAAAGAAGGGAGGAGATGATATTTGGAGGTGGAAAAAATTACTCACCAGTGGTTTAACAACTAAGAATTTCAAACTGTAAGACTGTACATGCTAGCTATGGCATATTTTTATTGCCTCTTAGACTTCTAAAGATTACAGAAAATACTTCGGGAAAATAATTTTCCAAGGAAAGGTTGTGTCAAAAAAAGTATTTGTGAACAATTCTCATGGCTGGAAATACTACAGCACATGTAATCCTCTCTGGCATCAGAATTCAGGAGGCTTCTTGTGCCTAAAGACTAAACCACAAAATACTTACATCAGAGTAGGAAAGCTGTGGCACAGTCATTGCTCTTCCTATAAATAGCACAATTTTACTAATACTGCATTACTGCTATATTGGGCTAATTGCCTTCAGAGAATTTAGGGCTATTCTGAGAGTCTGTCTTTGGTAGTTCATGCTTATAAACCTATCAGTAGTGATTTACATAGTTTGCTTTATATGAGTAAATATAGCAGCACAAAGTTGTTGTTTTTTTTAGTTTTTTATTTTGTGAGAGCTCTTTCTCCCTATCTCTAAAGAAAACATGATTTCCTAACAGACAGTGGTGTTTTGATTATGGCAGTATTTTTTCTCATGTATCTAAACCTCTTTCTAAGTAGCATTTTGTCAGGAAAATAGGAAGAAACTCCAAACTTGGGTACAGAATATAGGATGAGAAATTGTAGATCTTGCCTTACATTTGTACACCTCAGACCTCCTTTAAGGCAATGCTGTGAGTGCCTTTTTTCTTAAAGCTTCACTTGAATCATGATGGGGTTAATTACCTTCACTCATGGAACTCTCCATAGAGATTTACAACCTTGGTGTCCTCCGAGAAGTAACAGGATAAATGACACGTGGGAAATGGCTTTTGAGAGGCTGCAGTTACTTAAGCAGACGTGCTCTGATCTGCACAGCAGTGGGAAGAGCATCCCCTGGGTGCAAAGGGATCAACACATTTTTGTGGAAAACGAATCTGTAGAGAATTCGACAAGATGGCTTTACAAATAAGGCTAAATATTTTAGAGAAATAGAACTAAGAAAGATGCATTGTAGTAGGACTCATGAGAAGTAATTTTAGATTATTAGCTTTAAACCATTTACAACATATTGTGACTAAAGCTGAAAGGCCAAAAAGCGTTTATAATGTATTGTAATTAGGAAATAGTTGACTTCTGATTGTGATGGTGTGAATAATAACATCTGTATTGTCTCACCTTTCTCATGAGACTGAAAATGGAATAAAAGTGTTTAAAATTCCTCTCAGTTGCCCCATGTCTGGGTCAGAAGAGGGCTCAATCCCCCACCTTTCAGGCCGCTGCTGTCCGTGCAGGAATTGCCCGTGCCCCGTTCCGCGGGGCTCTCCGGGCGGGTTTGGTGCCTGTCCCCCCGCCAGGCTGGCCGAGCTCGGCCCTGCCCTGCAGCCCTGGGCTCACGGACAGCGCCTGGCCGAGCCGCGGAGCCCCGCTCCCCGAGTGTCCCGGCAGGGCACGGGCAGTGTCAGCTCCTTGTGGCACTGAGAGCAAGCCCCAGGTGAGCTATCTGACCCAGTTAATCATTGGCCACCAGAGAATGTGCCATTGTCACATAATCCTGCAGTTTCATCTCGGAGCAAATACTGTTTTATCGCATGCTCTGCTTATGTAATTTCCAAGACAGAAGTGGTTAACCTTAGTCCTGGGAAAAAACTGTCCGAGCTCCTGAGGGGGAATTCAGTGCCTGGGTACAGTGTTCAATACAGCAGCATCACAGGAGGTCTGTTTTATCTGCATTAAAATACCTGAAGGGAATACCTGCAGAAGGAAAAAGTATATTTTACTCTACTGAAAGGCATTTTTCTATTATCACCTATAATAATATAATTCACTTGTGAATTATATACACCTATAATTATTTACCTATAATTCACTTGTGAATAAACTTGTAGGGAAAGAAAATTATTTCTATCTTTATACCATTACTGATAGCTTAAGTGAATGTCCTTAAACTGTACTTTTAAATGAAAGCAGCTCTCTTGCATATTATTTTGACCAAATGAGGAGTTAAGTAGTGTTTTCTGGAAAATGCAAAATAAATGTAAAATGCTTGGAAAAACATCAATTAGGAGGGTAAGAAAATAGCTTCCATGTGGTATTGCTTTGAGGGGAGTTGAATCATGGTGTGTTTTAAATTACTATTGTGAATGTTTTCCATTACAGTCTTTTCTTAAATACCTAAATATTTATTTATTTATGTGTTTAAGACAAAACTGCTGTAGTTAATATTAACAGAACTGGGTTGTGAATTTTTTCTTATTCACTGTTATAACATTCGAAGGCTTATTAGTTAATAATTGTAATCTTGAATATTTTAAAGGGACAAAGAGGAAGGAACACACATTGTTCTGTTGTCTTGAAAACAACAGAGGTTCTCAACAAAGACTCTTAGTTCATGGTTTTGCACTGTTGTCTCGGAGTTGCTGAAATGGATGAGGATGTGAGTCAGGTTAAATATGATCTTTTTAAAAGATAAATAAAGTTTAACTGCTCTCCAGTACTTCTCTTTTGATGATACTTCAGTACTGGTCTGTCCTTGATTCATCTCTGTATACAGTCTGATTTTTGAGCCTGGTGCATCAGAATTTGTTTTAAAAGTAGGGTTTTTTTTGTTTTAACCTTACTTTTCCAATAAATTTTTATCATACACCCCAAATTAGTGGTAATCAGTAGATAAAATTATTCTCAGGGTTATTAATGCCTTAGAATTTTTGGTGGTGGTGATTAGGTGTGTTTATGTGTTTAGTTTCCCTGTTCCTGCTGTATGTTCTGTCTGTTCACCTACATGGATTTTGTATAAAGAAATAAATTAAAAGTACAGTAGTTTTCCTTCCAAACTGATCTTAAGAAAACCAAACCCCAATATAAAACAGAAGACTAATCCAAATTACCTCTAAACCAAATAAGCGATGCTCTGATGTCTGAATAGAATTTTTTTCTTTATCAAGATAAACTGAAAGGCAGTGGAATGGCACTGAAACTCATAATAGTGATTATCCAAATCTATATTGTCTATTGTCAGCAATACTGACAAGTATTAAGTAAAAAAAATAGAAAACAAGGGAGCATGTAATCTTTTCAGGATGTTTTCCATGTTTATTCAGCTTTCTTCTGTGTGGTTTTTTACCTATTTCATGATAAAACATTATGAGATTTTCAATTTAACTGACAAATTTCACCATTCAAATGCTGAATATATTAACCATGCATGTAATTTTTTACTTTATTCAAATCAAATATCAGTGTGAATTCCAGTTTGTCAGCAAGGCAAACAAGAAAATATTTTTTTTTCTTCCTTCCCTTCCTCCTCAGATTTGTGCATCTGTATTTCCAATACAGAGTGAAAATTCTGAAAATGGCTTGATTTGCTCTTGGTCTTGGCTGTGTTTCTGATGAGTGTCCCACGGACTCTGTCAAGTTCTGGGGGTTCTCCTCTAGCACTGAGGAGCAGAACCCTGAGCAGCAGCCTGGCATCAGTGGAAACGTTTTTCTGTCATTCTCCTTAAAAGAGCAGCTCAAGATGAGTGACTATTCTGGACTTCCAAGTGACCACAGCCAGATGATTGCTGAAGACTCAGAAATTCAAGCAAAGCCTGAACACTCGCATGAAGTTCTTCAGGAAGATATTGAAATGAGCAGTGGCTCTAGTGGAAATGATTCCAGTGGAAATGACTCCAGTGGAAATGACACAAATGAAAACTATTCAAGTGGGCATGATTCTCATGGTCATGAATCTGATGAAAATGGGAAGGATTCAGCAATGCTTATGGAATCTTCAGACTGTCATAAAAGGTAGTAGCTATTATTAAATACATTTTGCTTTTCTTTTTGCCCCTAAAGACTTTTTACATTTGAATCAATATTTCTAAATAATAACTAAGATATAAAGCCTCTTCAGCATGGAGCTGAGCGTGGTACTTAAGTTGTACTCTCATGTGATGTAAATTATGTAATATAATTAATAAAGGAAAGGTCTCTGGTGTTGGTATTTGCATTGCCAGCATAATTGGCATCTTTCTTCTCATCCAGTGAGTGTTTGACTTACCTTATTTATTTTCTTGTAAACCAACTTTTAAAACCTGATAAGAATCAGTTGATTCTTATGTGTGAGGATGCAACATATGCTATTTTAATATTTTCAATAATAGTTTACTGGACAGAGCAAAGCTATGTTAAGAACGACCTCTGTAGTAGTCCTGTGAGGAGCAGGGTGTTGGGACTCAGTGATCCTTATGGTCCTTTTCAACTCAAGCTATTCTGTGGTGCATAGATAAATGTTTATGACTTTAGTGCCCACTTGTTGTACCATGCAGAAGCTTTTAAAATTTTGGGTTGGGGTTCGGGGCTTTTGTTTGTTTTTGTCGGGGAGGATTTTTGGTAGTTGTTTTGGGTTTGTTTTGGTTTTTTGTTTGGTTGGTTTTTTGGGTTTTTTTGGGGATTTTTTTTTTGGTTGATTCTTTGGGTTTTTTTGGGTAGCCAGTCATTAATAGGAAAATAAAAAGCTACAATGAACAACAACATTTATGTTAGGTTTTCAGATATTAATCCTTTTCCTCTTTTCCTTATTCTAGTTCAAGCTCAAATGCATTTAGTCTGATGATTGCAAACTCTGAACACAATCAGTCCAGCAGTGGATGCAGGTAAATTAATGAGCATATGTTTTTCAGTAATATGCTAAATGCTGAAAACTAAATAATGTCGTATTTTGGGGTTTTTGTTTTGTTTTGCCTCAACCTGGATGATTACACAAGACATCCTAGGCTTTGATTTCTTCCTGTCCATAATCAGTCACATCTCATATTAACCACTTGATGAAATTACAGCTTTTTGTTGCTGTTCCATGTGAGTTTTGTGGTAACCTTTTGAAGCCCTATTACTTTATTTTGATTTGGTAGCTTAGCTTTGTAATTTTTATTTTTTTGTGGGTCCCTTTGAATATTGCTTCAGTTACAGTTACAGTAGCTTTTGAATTTTTTTTTTTGCTCTTCAGAATTTGGTCTGAACCTGGTGGTTTGTCAAGATCAGAATTCACCATTGAGCTGGGTTACTCCTGGTGTCCAGCAGCTGTATCACCTGCCTCTCCAGCAAATCCATTTGCTGGTATTCAAGGCCCCAGGGTGTAAGGATAAATGATACACAGACACTATCTGCAGGAATTAAACCCTGTGTATGGAGTCTGCTTCTGTCCCTCATAGCCTTGAAAAGCCTGGTAGCTTGAAGGCTTATATTTAGACACTTCAGAGTATCCTGCTGCACTTGTTTTTTTAAATCAACTTTTAAGTCAGATCAGGAGATCAAAGCCTGGTCCTGAGAAGATCAGAGATATCTAGCTCTAGAGCATGTTGATGTTAAGACCCATATCTAAGACCTGCCTACCTGAATGTCTTTCTATCTGATGCAGTTCCTAGAAAAGTGGCAAATTCAAATTACTCCTATGCATCATTTGGTGTGTGTTCAACATATTTTCTATGTCTGCCTTGCATGCACATGGATTTTGTTCCATGCTGTATTTTCAACTGGAAATTGTGATCCAGAATTTGTGTTGCTTACTGTGAGAGTAAGCCAAAGGCATTTCTTAATCATTGTTTCCCATGGATTTCGTTTTCTTCACTGTGAGATCTTGAAAGGGGTTTAGTTAGTACAGTTTTTTTTGGTGTTTCACTTTTAAATTTCATTAATAGCTCTCTGCTCAGAAATAATTAAGAATCCAGATAGTAGTGTGTTCTCCCCAGCCATCAGGCATTGTGCTAGAGGGTTACAGAGCAGAACTGATCATCATTTGGGACTGTGAGACTGAAGATATCTAGAGAATGATCTTCAAAGAGAAGACTAAAATAGTCTGATATACTACTTATTTTTGTAGGCTCGATCTTTGATTCAGATGACCAGGGTTTGCATTCAGTATTGGTGCCAACCGACAGCTCTAGTTTAATATTTGTAGGTGCCTTTCCAATTTTCTGTCTGCAAAAAGCAAAATGAAAAGCTCTTATCTTTATAAGCTTGCGTATTCTGTCCTCTTCAAGTCACACCTTCCCTGTGGCTGCCTGCTGTGCCTGATGCTACTGCACTCTGGAAAAACAGTCTGGAGTTGTGGAACTTATTTTCCAAGAATATCCGTATTCTGTATTTGCTGCTGCCGTAGCTGATTTGGAAACATTTTTGGTTTTGCAGAAGAATCTGACCACTCTTGTGAAGCAGTCTGCACTCTGAGAGTACAAACCAGCAGTGTGCTCAGTTATTTCATAATCTTTCCTCTCTCTTTTTCCCAACTGCCAGCATGAAGGGTTCTTCTATGAAACTCTGTTAACAAAGCCCTGTTTGATTGCAGCAGTCTGAACTGTCAAGCCACGTTGTACACGTGATTTTAATACACAGCATGAACATCATGTTTCCCAACTGAGTACTATAGACTTTTGTTTGATCCCTTGCCATTAGTTCTTGGTACAAAATGGCCAGTGAGTAAATGAATGCTGCGTGTCTCACAGTGCATTGTGATGGAAGCAAGAACAATGTGTATTCTCTAGTACAGCTTTGTCACTTTGCAAGCATTTTTGGTAAAATACCCAGCACCTGTCAGATGATTTATTTACCTTTACAAGCTCTTAAAACTTCTCAGAAAAGTGTTCACAAATCCTCTTGAAAATGACTTGGCAGCTGAATCCACTTTCCTGGCTGTTTCAGTCAGGCAGAGCAGTTGCCAGGACTATTGTTTCCACAGCAGTGCCCAGGGTAACTTCTTACAGATTATCAGCCATGACAATCAGGTGTTAAGAGAAGACTTTCCTTTGGAAAGGGAAAAAAATTCAGGAAGATTTAGGAACAGCTCTATAATCCTGTTGATCATTCTGAATGAAATGATCAGCTTTTAAAATCTCCAATGCAAAAGACAAGGTGATTTATCATTTTAACTCCTTCCTAACCATCTGCCATCCATCTTTGCTAACCTCTCCCTCACTTCCCTTACCTCCTTTTTTCTTCCTTTGTCGTTGTGTCAGCACGTCTCAATAATGAGGAGAGATACGAGGAACTGGAAAGGAAGGTGATTCCTTTCTGATATTGGCACTGGTAGTCTCTGTAGTTTGTCCTTCTCCACTGAGACAGCTCTTCTGAACATGCACCTGAGACCTGTGAATGCAGCTTCTGTCTCCAGCCTCCTCTGATCTTTTCCTTACTAATTTAGTCAGAGTTTCTTTATCTTATTTAATGTGTTGCCATGCTTAGGTGGGATACATTATTCAAAGGATTTCTCCATTTGTTTTGTTAACTTGATGCTCTCCCACTGCCATTCCCTTTTCAGGGACCTTTCTTAAGAAAACCTGGTTGAACAGGAGGTGAAGACTTGAATGGACCTCCTGCTTCTCTCCTTTGGAGTCCATGAGCATTTCTGAGTTTGATTTTGAAAGGAACTAAGGGAAATAACACTAAAAAGGGAAGAGGGGGACTCTAGCAAAGAGAAAAAAAAAAAAAAAAGAGATTCTGTGGTGCTTGGGCATATGTCCTGTTGCACATACAGAGCCCATTTTACAAATACACTCCAGGTGGTGGTAAATCTTTCATTTTAAATGGTCACATAAGAATTTCCTTAAGTTCTGGAAGCTGATACAGAATGAGTACTGGCAAAGTCAGTGAGGCTAGTGGTAGAAATTGATGTGGGTGACAAGTGCCAGAGTACCTTTGGGCTTCTCTGTGGATGATGTGTCACTTCAAGCATTCAAGTGATGTTGTGTTTTTTGTTTTTTCATCTTACAGTAGTGAGCAATCCACTAAAGCCAAAACACAAAAGGAATTGCTGAAAACACTGCAGGAGCTGAAAGCTCACCTTCCTTCTGAGAAGAGAGTCAAAGGCAAATCCAGTGTCCTAACGACGCTGAAATATGCCCTTAAAAGCATTAAACAAGTTAAAGGTAATAAAGCGTGATACTGCCTAGAAAATGCCAACCTGGCTAAAGTGAAACTTTCAAAATAGGAGTTTAAATAAACGTAGATCTACACAGAGAACTGTACTATGACTGAAAACCTTTCTAACCAAATACTTTTCATTTTGTTCCTATTTGTTGGCTTTGTTAACTTTTGTTCCTTTGGGAGTTGAAGGAGCTCTCTAGAGGCTTGGTGCTTTACTGCTGTTTGATTGAGTTAGAAAATTGATTTGAAAACAATTTTTGGTTTCATACTGTTTGAACTGTTAGACCATTCATATATGGGTAGATTAAGATGTGTACATTTCTTTGAGTTACTGATGAGGAAGCTCTACCAGGGAAAATGATGTATTTGGAATAGTGCCTAGATTTCCCAACTGCCAACTTCCCAACTTCTGCATTTATGCCAAAAAATATTTTTGCCATTTACTGCTTCTGGGCTGGGTGTTTATTGATAATCCTGATTATAAACTGTTTGTTGTTCTCATGTAGCCAATGAGGAATATTACCAGTTGTTGATGATTAATGAATCCCAACCTGCTGGTCTCAATGTATCCTCTTACACAGTGGAAGAAGTGGAGACTATAACCTCAGAATACATCATGAAAAATGCAGTGAGTATGGTGCCCTGAGTCTCAGTGTGTATTGAAAATGTTTCCTGGAACTGGAATTCTCAGGCATGCTGCCTTCTTACAAGGGAAGGGTTGGTAACTGGGCCACAGAGCTGAAGAAACTGCCTTTCTGCCCCTAAGGGGATGTTAAGAAACTCTGAACCTTTTCAGACTTTGCAAACTTGATTCTGTCAGTTAGGTGGGAAATAAGTAGGCTTGAGCTCTGAATTGTACCTTGTGCCTGGAGGCGGTGGTGTGACACATCTTTGTCCATGTGATAAAAAACACTGAGAGACATCATTAGGTTTCATTTCAGTGCACTTGCAAAAGTTGGAGAGTTAACTTTTTCCATATTTTAGTTGAATCACATGGTGAATCACTTCAGCTTATTATTATAACTACGAGTTATTTGATGTTTCACCAGTTTTTGTTAATGTGACTGAAGAGTGACAAAAGTATTGGAATCGCTGTGTCCTTTTCTGTGGGATTTGTCTGCTCTTTGCAACTGCTACAGGCTTTCTGAGAGGTCCAGTGGTGCTGTGTTCTCAAGAACAGCTAGGACCATCACTGGAGTTCTAGCAGTGAAATGTTAACTTGAATGTTTTTTTAAATTATTTATTTCCATATTACTAGTATTTTAGGAATAAGTTATGGAATCTTGAAAAAATAATGGCATCTAAATATATTAGACTACTTCTACTATTTTTTTGAGCTGTAACCTTCATTTGAATATATTAAGTCTGAATTCTTTAAAACAAGAACATGGTGGGGGATGTTCATAGCTTGAAGTAGGTGGGTTTTGTTGTATCTGTGAATAGAAAAGGCTGCCCACAAGGTGAAATAAATAGGAAGTGTAAAGTACAACTGAGAAATTCAGCCAAATATCATAAACATTGTTTAATTAATGTGAATACCTGTTTGTGAAAGCAGTGTTCTGCTGGCAGCTCTTCAGTTGCTGTGCGGTGTTTGTGAATGCAGCACTAAAGGTTGTGACACAGGGAGCTCCTCCGTGGCAAGAAGAAAAACAATACAAGTGTGTAGGACTTCTTCCCACCTGTGTACTGATTATTTTTTACTAAGTGGTTTAGAGCCCTTTTTTCACTTTTTATGGATGGACCAGCCAACACAAACAGCCTTTCAAAAACACCTGAATTTCATGCATGTAAATCACGTCTGTAACAAGCACAGGGAAAATGTGAAGTTATATAGCTGGAAGGTCATTAATTATTTTGTAAATTCATTGTGCATCATAGAACTGTAGACAACAATATTTAGGGCTTGTAACCCAGTAAATAGTAATGTATTATTCTTACTACATAATTGAAAAATGTTCTGTCTGTGTATACTTGATGAGCAGGTTCATTGCGTTGAACAACATCTGTAACAAAATTAAATATCCTAAATTCTCATTTTGAACTTACTAATATATATCTTAAATGTTTTTCTCATAAATACATGCTGCACTGAAGAATGTTTCAAACGGTCTAAGTAATTTGAGATTTTTGTTTTTAGGATATGTTTGCTGTAGCCGTTTCTTTGATAACTGGGAAAATTTTGTACATCTCTGATCAAGCTGCTTCTATTCTCCGCTGCAAGAGGGGTTATTTTAAAAATGCCAAATTTGTGGAGCTCTTGGCGCCTCAGGATGTCAGCGTGTTCTATACTTCTACCACCCCATACAGATTACCATCATGGAACATTTGCAATAGAGCTGGTGAGTGGGCTCAACAGCAGATACTTCTCTGACCTTCTTGCAGTTACACAAATTCAAATACTTGAGCTGATTTTGAGTGTCCTTCCATCCTTCCTCATCACTTCTTGAGGCTGTAGCACAGGGGCATTATTAGAACACCTCTGAACAGCACTGGGTGTACAAATGTACTCTATAAATCAGCAAGACTTGTCTCTTGGTTAAAAGTCTTCTCAATGTCATTACTTATCAGTTCTCATTTCCCTTTCAGCCAGATGATGAATAAAAACAAAGTAGAAATTCATACTGAATGGTGAATTTACTTTCCACTTGTACTAACAATCAAATGAAAACAAATTTTCTTCACATTTTCTCTTCCTCAAGTGTAAAGGGGACAGTACTCTGTCTCTTTCCTTTTAAAATGGTTATGATTTGAGTACTGGACACCTTGATTATGGTGTAGAAAAAGGTATTTCAGCTGTCATCACTGTGTGCTCAGCAAGTGTAATCACAGCTCTCTTCTTCTAGCCTTAAAAAAAATATATTAGGCATAATTAATGGTGAAGGATCAGATTTCTCAGGGCAGTTGATATTTGTTTGTGGTAGGACTATTTTACTCATGTACCTGCAGCTGCTAGTAATTGAGAAATGTCTGCCAACTGTTTCAACTAAATACTTGAAATTCAAGGTCACTTCTAAATGTTTGAAATTCCAATCCACTGCATACTAAATGTGTGAAGTAAAGCCAGGGTGTGAACCATATTTAATCTGAAAAAACAATCAGCAATAAACATGTGCTAAGCAATGCATACAATAAAACAGGTCAAAAGAGACCTTGTTGGGGTCTCCAGTGCAACCTCTGGCTCAAAATAGGGTCAGTGGTAAATTATATATAATCCTAATTACTCATTTAGGCAGGAGTTTTATTGGTTTTGCTTTCTTGAAATATCTTCTGTAGCTTTATTATGTTTATTTACATCTTCAAATTTAAATAATGCAGTAAACAGACGTGTGCACACTCTCTCATGTATTAACTGCCAAACAGTATAATATCCAGAATATTATGCACTGGAAACCTTTGAAATGCCAGAGCTTCCCTTGGAGATTAGTGTGTGACTACTCTGGAAAAGGACGGAAATAAGCTTGAAACATGAGAAGAAGTCTTCAGGAAAAAGAGAGACGTGGGGTGCTAGGAACTGTATTTGGTGGTCAGATTTGGGGTCCTAGGTAATCAAACATTTCTGGTCATTGGTATAAAGTACTGTGAAAATGTTGATAAGAGTAAGCAGCTCAAACTGGAGAGCTGTTTAGATATGTTTAGGAAAAAGACTTGATAAACAAGGAGCTGTGATTCACATGCCAGCCTCAGAATCCAAGTGATGTTCAGATTTAGTTGCTTGTGATGTACGTGTTTAACCAATACATATGGAGACTACAGGGAACATTAAAAATATGTATTATCTAAGGAAAAATTCATACACTAAATATCATCATCTTCTAGTAATTTGTAATGAAATATGCTTAATATTTCTAGAGTCTTCCACCCAGGATTGCATGGAAGAGAAATCTTTTTTCTGTCGCATCAGGTAAGACAATATTGTAAAGCTTAGTGTTGTGTTATGAAACCAAGCATTACATAAGTATTTGACTTTTATAAGAACCATATGGTTTGAATATTTCATGCTTTTTCATAATGTGATTGTAAACCAAAACATATGCACATCCTTGAGTTGATTAACTGTAGCAGCTACAGAGAAAAGTGAACTGATTTTGGAAAGTTCCATCTTGGAAGTTAATCTCTGTGAGTATTGAGCTTTGTGCCATAAAGGAAGGTGGTACAGCATCTCCTCCTGCTCTGGAAAGCTTTTGGTTCATGTAAATAGAGCTGTTCAGCACCTGCTTCAGTCTCTTTCATTCTAGAAAACCAATGGCTCAAACTTATCTCAGGTATCCCCTAGGAAGATATGCAAGGGTTACTGGACTTGTCTCATTTGCAGTTAATAGAGGACCCAATTATTTGGTTTGCTTTAAGTGTTGCATTGGATGTATTGTAGAAGTACTGCTGGTGTTACTGGAGATTTTTTGTCCTGGTAACACTGGTTTCAAAAGCTTTACTTTTATTTAGCTCTGCTGTTATAAACTTATTACAACTCATTCTTCTTTGGTCACTGTGTAAATGGTTGTTGTTTTCAGAACTATGTTTGCATTCTGGTTAAGCAAACACCTGTTATTAGATATTGAGCCTTCACTGCTTCTAAACTGGAAAAAATATTGATTAAAATATGACCTTTGTGTTAACTGAGGGGATATAGCAGTCTTCATAAAAAAGCTGTGTAAATTCATCCTTCTGAAGGACAACAAAGTAACTTAATTTACTGGGTGAGCTGGGTTTTCTATCAAACTTCCATGTAATGCTGTTGTGGATATTTGTCTCAGGCAGCAGAGAGAACAGCACTGTCTTTATGGAAGTTGGTGCACAAAGGATACCATCAGAATTAGGTTCTCTTCCACAAAAAATAAAAAAAAAATCAAGATCTTGGGTGCTATTTTAGTAGCTAATATGCAGTTCTTGTGTCATGAGGGAAATACAGTGGATAAATTATAATTGTGTTCAGTGTAAGATGAATCTGTTGAAATAATTAACTCTCTTTAATTATTAGTGCAGGAAAGGAGCGTGAAAATGAGATTTGCTATCACCCATTCCGGATGACTCCCTACCTTATCAAAGTGCAAGATCCAGAAATAGCAGAAGACCAGCTTTGCTGTGTGTTGCTTGCGGAAAAAGTCCATTCTGGTTATGAAGGTAATCCTTGAGTGCAAAAAGATTAGCTTGCTTTCCTGAAAGTAAGAACTGTTGAAACTTTATTGAAGTGAAAGACAATTGTTTCTGTTCTCTGTCCTTGCTACTTTCCTGTATGCTCTTGGCCAGATTTTTGGAGTGGCAGCTTGAAGTACTATATATGCAAAACCCCCAGTTGCTAAAATGCTTTTACTTTTCTCTCAGCACCCAGAATTCCTCCTGACAAAAGGATTTTCACAACTACGCACACACCGACCTGTTTGTTTCAGGATGTAGATGAAAGGTAACTTACAAAAATTATTTTTCAATTTACTGATGAGCAAGCTAACCAATATCTTTGCAGGATTTAAGGTATCTATATGGGGTTAAAAATTATGCATCTACTGAAGAGTGTTTAAATTAGGAAAAGTGAATACCCCTATTTTCACTATGCATGAGAACACATTACACTGGTATTTAAGTGCCTACTAACAACTTGTTCTTCCACTTTCCTCTTGAAAAATTCTGGACATAAATTCAGTCAAGGAACCTATGATCAAAAGAATTCCTGTGCTGCCAGTTATTACCAGTATGAGACATTTAGGTGTGGATTTTTTAAGTTTCATTCAGCAAATATGCTGCTGTTGCTCTCTGCTGGCCCAGGTACAACTAGAGGTACAGCTTTTCGGTACAATATTAAATAATTTTTAAAAAAGGTATATAAAAATGGTTCAAATTACATTGGCTGAAGACTTGAAATTGCTTTGACAGTCATGAAAGCTGGTTAGAGTAAGTATTTACATCCTAAATTAGAATAAAAATGCCACCTGTGATCTTAATGTATATGGAAAGACTTAGGAACTGAGGTCTAAACCAAGCTTTCACAGAGTCATTTAGGTTGCAAAAGACCTCTAAGATCATCAAATCCAGCACTAAACCCTATCCCTAAATGCCTCATCTGCACATTTTTAAATACCTTTGGGGATGGTGACTGCACCCCTTCTGTGGGCAGCCTGTTCCTTGACAAGCCTTTCCATAAAGAAATGTTTCCTAATAGCCAGTCTAAACCTGTCCTGAGGCCAGTTTCTCTTGTCCCGTCACTTATTCCCTGGGAGAATCAACTCTGTCACCCAGTTCGCTGTTGTCTGCAAACTGATGGAGGATGTTTGCCATCCTCCTGGCCAGATAGTGGGTAAAGATATTAAACACAATAGGGCCCAATCCTGAGCCCTGGGGACTTGACTTGAAAAGAGAATTCACCTATTCCTGAGTTGAAAATGCTACATTTCCCCTTCCTTTTCCACTTTCCTTGATATTTTCTTCGTGATGGTTTCTGATATTTGGGCTGTATATGGCACTTAATTTTGATTTTTTTTTTTTCTCCTTAGCAAAAACTAAGCAACAGTGGTAACACCTGACTGCTGAGATTGTCCCATTTGTTTTCAAGCATTCCAAGAAGGCTAAAATTTTCTTTGTAGGTTGAGATGGGGGGGATGTCTTCAGACGGAGTAGGAGTATAATGGACACTTTTGAGATTCTGTGGCATTTTTTGCGTGGAAATCTAGCTTCTGAAAAATTACTTAATTCTTGGCAAAATCCTTAAATGCAGCAGAAGAGAGAGGGACTGGGGAAAGGAGGTTATTGTGATGTTTGACTAAGATGGAGTCAAGGTAAAAAGAACATGTTTGAGTTCTGAGACATTGTGGCCGAGTTCCTGTAGGATAGGCAGTGTAATGCTGACAAAGTGCTTTTCCATGCTGTGCTTTATACAGCCCCTCTAACAGCTCAGGCTGATAAAAGAACTTAATGTCTTCTTCATGGATTTTTCTCTCTCCTTCATTTCTACACATGCTTCAAGCCAGCTGCAGAGTGGGTTTATCATTACAAGGAGGCTGAGGGCTCTATGCGTTCACAGCTCAGTGATATCCAGCAGTCATTTAACAGAAATTACAAAATTGCTGAGTGGAGAGCCTTGCCCTTATTCCTGGGCTTGAGTGGAACAAGTCCAGTAAATTCTTCCTTGTGAATCCTATGGAAGCTTCTTTCCTGTTAGTTTGATGTTACCACTTGTTCTCAAATACCGTTTTCTAACACTTCCAGTGAGGGTTGATTACGTCTTGGTCTGAAATGAAGGCTTTGTGTCATTTATTTCTGTTCTTGTGATTGTGGAGTTGATTTTGCTTTTAATTATTTAACTCCTGAGACCATTGGCAGCCCAATAAATGTTTACCAAGACATGCATATGCAGTTTGTTACTCTTAAGTTCTCCAGGGAGAATACACAAAGCAAGAGATTCTTAAAGAAAGCAGAGTCTTAATATTTAAAAATATGCAACTGTGCACCTGTTGTTGCTGTTGAGTGTTATTCATAACATAGCCATGAAACTGTTGCTTGACTTTCATAAAGTTAATTTCTGTAATCAGTATGTTTTCATGGGTTGGAAGAATATGTATTTGTCTGAACTCTGCAGGTTGATCTCTGCACGGAGTATATTAAGTAAAAATAAATATTTTCTTGAAATTAAATTGATCATTCCTATATGTATTTGTCTTAATATATTTGATACTTCATGCACTTAATAGGTGTAACTAGTTCACAGTGAAATGATCTTTGTAAATTAATTTAAAGCAGTTTTGTGTGTAACTTAAAATAATAATATAAAGAGACTTCTTCTGTTTTTTGGCACTTTAAATGTCATTCTATGAAACACAAACTAAACTTGGCAGCATATCCTCATCAGCCATTCTTATACCACACGTGTATTTGCATTTGTAAAATTAATTTATTAACTCAGCCTCTGAATTTTTATGAGTTATTCATTATGAGGAAGCATAATCCCAAGATATCATTCTCAAATACAGCATTATATGAGCACAGAAGGGCTGGTTGGAAGGGACTGCTGGAGGTCATGGTTCCATCCTTTTGCTTGAAATGAAACCTTGCCCAGTCCTGGCGAAGGTCAGCTGTGGCCTTGTCTTAGTAATACCTGAAAAACTTCAGAGACAGAGATTACACAATCTGTATGGGAAACCTCCTGTGTTGCACTGCTGTGTTAAAAGCCTTTTCCTGACATCCAGCATCAGCTTTCCAGATTCCAGTCTTGGGCCATTGCCTGTAGTTTTATTGTCTGGTACCATCAAGAAAACTTAACTCCATTTTTGTAACTCCTCTTTCCAGCAGTGTGGGAAGCTCCTGGATCATCTTTTACTTTCCTTTTTATCAGAGCAGGCAAGGCCAGCTCAGTCTCACATTCTAGATCCCTGGCTTTCATAAAGCAGGTGGCAAACAGGAGCAGTGCTGAACAAAACCTTCTTATGGTGTTACTAGATGGAGCCCTGGCTGAAGTTGGTTGGAGTTGACTGAGATTTTAAAGTCCTCTAGCAGTGCAACTTTTCTCATGTGCTTTGGACTTGGCAGCACTTCTAAATGTCAATGTGTCAAAGTGATCTGGTGGTATGAGTTCCATGCCAGTTTCTGCTCTGTTGCTTAGTTCATGTACAAACTTTTGAGACTGATTATTAAACTAATTGCTTTGGTAATAAGGCATTAGTTGCTATCCTCTTTTCCCTCTCAGCTTCTTTGCTGGAAGGGTATGTTTGATGTTTTGGGGAACTGATGTAATTCCAGTGGGTTGTTGGAAGTGCAGTGTTGAAGGTGTTTGGTGCATAATGCTTTTGAGTTCCTACATGGCACAGATCCCCTGTCTGGTGCACTGGGGCTGAGTTCTTCATTGAAGCTGTTCAGATACTCAGGTTCCTCCCTGCCCCTGGACCTTTGGCATTGAGTGGGGCTGGGATAAGATGTACAGCATTTTGATCTTACAAGATGAGTCGTTGGTGTCTGGTAACTTAAACATCACTTGAGTAGTGTTGATTTAGTACATCTTTTTTTTCCAAAGCACATTTTCAGTGGTTAACCTCCAGGGTAAGGTGGAGAGTGGTATTTCTGAACTTTCACTCTTTATCCTTAACACAAATGCTTGAAGTGTTCAATAAAAAATATTTCATCACATAAATTAGTTTTTCACATCACTAGAAGTCATGGATAATGTACAGGAATTCAGTAGCATTGCTTTTAATTCTCTGGTTAATAAGCTTGCTCCCTTGCAGCTCTTCTGAGCTGAACTCTTCACCTGCCTGTGAGAAAGTTGTCTTGAGTGCTGGTCAGCTCCCCTGGTGCTAGTTCAGCTGTGGTAATCCTGTGATCCTTAGCCATGGCTCCCAGCCAAGGGATTGGAGTACTATTTACCTTCATGAGAGTTTTACAAGATTAAACTTTATTAGTGCTCTTTTAAAATTGGGGTAAGGATTTATCCTCTAAAGTTAGGCAGCAAAAAAAAAAGACAGAACTGCTGTAGCAGACCCCTTGATTTGGTCTAACCACCACCCCACAAACAAACAAAGCCTCCCTTGCCCTAAGTGCATGACTTGTTAACTTGGCATTGCTTTTTCACCAAATGTAAAACTAAAATTATTCCTTCTCTTCACAGGAAAATGAGCAAAGAAAGCTTAAAACATTTCAAACATAAAATGTACATTTATTCTACTTGATTTTTATTATGTTTTCTTTGTCTTTCTATCTCCAGAGCAGTACCTCTGTTGGGATACCTACCTCAGGATTTAATAGGAACACCAGTCTTGGTGCATCTTCACCCAAATGACAGACCCTTAATGTTAGCAATTCACAAAAAAAGTATGTAACCTCTTACTGTGGCAGAAATACACTTTTTTTTTCCTTGAATGTAATTATAATGACTGCAAAGACCTTAACAAGTAGTAGGAGAAAATTAATTGTGATTTTAATTTTTTTTCCAGAAGTAAATACTGAATCTTTTACTGCACAGCTTGATTCTTAATGCAAATCCATGAAAATGAGAAATCACTCAGTTTTGTACTTTCTAAGAAGCATACATATCTATTGTAAACAAATTGACTATAAATGAGTATTTCATACATAAATGTATGAAATGAATGAAAAAGAAAAAAAATTATGAGAATGGTGTGATAGAAGGTATCATATCTTACATGATACTCTTTATTATTTCATGGAGAAGAAAATAAGAGCCATTCTGGCAAAGTTTGTAAAGTCACTTCTTCAGCTTTCTTTAGTTTATTGTATTCTTAAGGTGATTTTCTTGACCATAGTCTAGTAAATTGTGAAAATCTATTTATTCTGGTAGCTCAGAATTTCTAAATGTATCAATGTACCCAGTATTTGTTCTCTCAAGTGTCATCTTCCTCCATAACGAGGAAGTACACTGAATGTCCATTCCCTCCCTGAATGTACAGTTCATTGTAAAATTCTGAATTGTTATGTAGAATTGTGCAAACATTATATGAAATTTCTGTTTGAATCCTTCATTGCAGTTCTTCAGTATGGAGGGCAGCCTTTTGACTATTCACCCATCAGGTTTTGCACAAGGAATGGAGATTATATCACCATGGACACCAGCTGGTCCAGTTTCATCAACCCTTGGAGTCGAAAAGTTTCATTTATTATTGGCAGACACAAAGTCAGGACGTAAGTCAGGATATTTTTGTTTTCCTTTCCCTCAGGTTTACATAGAGATCTTTAAGAAGAGGGAACAGAATAAGTGTTAGTTTCTGTGTAGGATATATAGGAGGTAAAATATATGGGAGGTAAATTGAAGCTGCAGTCTCTGTGGTTGGAGCAGTTGCATTTGCAGTGAGCTGGTGTATGTTTGGTTTGTGCAGGGGTCCCTTAAATGAAGATGTCTTTGCTGCTCCCAACTACACAGAGGACAGAATCCTTCACCCCAGCGTTCAGGAGATCACGGAGCAGATCTATCGGCTCCTGCTGCAGGTACAGCAAGGACTTTGCTCCTTCCCTGCTCAGGGAAGATCCTGCTCTTGTTTTGCTATGACATTGCCTTTGGCTGCTTCTACTGTACTGGAGTTGTTGGCTACAGTCCTGGGAATTCCTTGCACTCATGATTACCACACAAGACTTACTGATCTTAAAGCTCCAGTTGATATCTTAAGAATTTCGTGTGGTCATGGCGTCCTCCAGACAAACAAACAAAAGACCCCAAGAAACACCAAAACAAACCAAACAAACAAACAAAAAAAAACCAACCAAAAAAAAAAACCCAAAAA